CCCCAAAACCCCAAAACCCCTTAGATTGTATTATGATTGGGGTAGAAAGAAAATAATTTGTCAATTTAATTTAAAGTTAAATATTTTAATTGTGGTTTTAACTCAGTTAATAATTTTAGCTTATTTCATTGCATCAGTAAAGTCTTTATCATAGAAGTCTAGAATTTCAAAAGCCTTAACAGTCATTTCCTTATTCTTGTCATTCATGTTAGTAAGCAATAGTCCACTCGATTTTGCAAGTTTTCTTAGTTCCTTCTCGAAGTTTAGAGAAGTTTTCAAATCCAATTAAAGATGCAAATCATCTGATTACTTTTGCTGCTCTCTTTCTGATTCGTTCAATAGTTAGTATTCTTTTTCAAGTTCACCAGACTCTTATTTTTTCTTGAGCTCATCCTGTTATGCTTTGATTTTTTCATAGTTGATCTTAAATCTTGCAAAGGCCTCTACTAATTCTGCCATATCTCTTGGAGCTATATGATCTGAATATTCCTCAGTCTCTTTTTTAATGTACTAAAGTAATTACTCATAAGGCTTGACATTATTGAAATATTTCATTGCTTAAAGACTGTAGAATATTTGAACGTAGTTACTCACAATGCCCTTTATTTTTCTTCCATCCTTGATTTTAGGAGAATAAGCGTATGCAATATTTATGCATTTTGTAACTTCTTCTACTATATCTCTGGTGAGCTGCATATTTCTAACTATTGTTTTCTTGCTTCTTTCTATGCATTGTAGAATTACTTTGAGTTGAACAATGTGTTTGATATTGTAGTCTTCATTTTGAACTGTCTTTTAATCTTCTCTTTCAGCCTCTTCATTGTAAGTTTTAAGATAATACAAGAAAATCTATGCTTGATGCTCTATTATATCACTGTTCATCAAGAATACTTAACTATAGAATAGTTGAGAAAAGCTTATGAAAGTATAGTTCTCAATATTCAGCTTGTCGAGGACTTAATTCATTTTATTTACAACCTTATCATTAGGTTATACACCTAAGTGTGCTAGACCCCAATATGTCATACTAATCATTTATCCGTCTACTCTAATATCTTCTTTTCCTTTATATTCATTTTTAGATTCCAACTGTGAAAGCTTTTGGTGCATTAATTCATTGACTCTTATAGTCAATTATCTTTTAACACTTGGATCAGGGTAATTCATTCTTCCAAGAGACCAAACAAATCTTGCTATTTATTTACCATTCATTGAAGTAATATTTTATAAAGTAATTTCTGTGCACTTTTGTATTAATGGCTAGTCTGGTAATCTAAGTTATGTAGTGGCATACACTAAAAATCATAAATCTTGGAAAAGAATATTTACAAATCCTATTAACAGTATCAGGACTGTATTTATGGACTTCATCATTAAGTTTTCTTAAGAGCGCCTACATTCTTCTATCTGTGAATCTGGGGTCTTCAACGTTTCTAAACTGAAATTTGGTACTTCCAGCAAAATCTCCTCCGTCTTAAACATTTCTTGGGATGACTAAAATATTTATCAGTAACTAATTGGCATTTATAAAATTTACCTTTTGCAAGCTATTGATAGAGAACAAGACTTGTTTTCTCATTAAAACTGAACTAGTAATTAAAGTAGTAATTCAAGAGACTGTCAGCTGTTTTAGAAACAGCTGAATTATCAAGTACAGTTAAAATCTCTTTTTCGCTTAAGTATTTTTTTTCAGTCTCTGGCGTCGCAAACAACCTCTCTGTCTCATTTAACGTAATTTCCTTATTATCTTTACTCTAAAGTCCTTATCTAACTTTTTCAAGCTCTTCTTACTTCTTTGCTTCCTTCTTTTCCTTACCTTTTTCTGTTATTTCTGTGTTCCTGTAGGATTTCTCGAAATTTTATTCCACTTATTTATCCTTCTTAGACTTATCCTTGAATATTTATTTGACTTAATCAGTACTGAATATGCTATCAATTTCTTCTTTTGTTAATATGGGTTACTAAGGCTGTGATTCCTAATTTTTCAATTCTGCAGCCTGTTTATCCTCAAGATACTAACTTTTTTCTTCTGGATCCATACTAGCTAATTTGAATTACTCTCTTTCGTTTTTAATCTATTCTTTCTTAAACTTTTTCATTCTGTCCACCTTTTTGGGCTTTTCAAGAGTCTCAGTCAATTGATTTGAATCATCCCAAGATTGGTTATTAACATATGGTTTATTTAACTAGTCAGACTCTGCAGAATCTTAATTAATAGGCTCAATAGAGGCATCTTTGTTTTTCTTAATAAACTAGCTCAGATCACTCTAGACCTCATTTGATTCATTAATAGGTTCAGACTCAGCCATCTCACTACCTTCTTAAACTTATTCTAGAGTTTACCTTCTAAAATTATTCTTTTCAGGCCTCTCTCTTTATCTCCTCTCATCTATGAATGGTCTATTTTCATTATTCTCCTTTTGACTTTGCTGATCAGCTCTTCTAGTGAAAGTTCTTTCTTCACCATTATTAGATGTATCTCTGAGGTTTTCTTAATCTTCTCTTTTACCACCTCTAAATTCTGATAAATCTTCTCTATTGTAATTCCTACTATCTTATCTATCTCTATAATCCACTCTATCATCGTCTCTTCGACCACCTCTTCCTCCTCTGAAGTCGTCTCTTCCTCCTCTAAAGTCGTCTCTTCCTCCTCTGAAGTCGTCTCTTCCTCCTCTAAAATCATTTCTATCTCCTCTGTAATCGCCTCTTCTTCCTCTGAACTCTTCTCTTCCACCTCTAAAATCGTTTCTCTCTCCTCTAAAATCACCTCGGCCTCTGAAATCACCACGGCCACCTCTGAAATCACCTCGATCACCTCTAAAATCACCACGGCCACCTCTAAAATCTCCTCTACCACCTCTAAAGTCATCTCTGCTTCCTCTACCTCTGTAATTTCTGCTCTCGGAATATTATTTAGTCTGTTGATCGATTGGATCAGCCTCTCCATCAGATTCACTTTGATTTCTAGATTGATTGGAAAACCTATCTCCACTTCTCTATGGCCTGCCTTAAAATTCATCATTTTCATCTCTTCTACCCTGGAAGCCACCTCTGTCACCTCCTCTACCTCTATAAGATCTCATTCTATCGTCTCCTCTTCCTCTTTAGAAGTCATCTCCAAAGCGATCTCTGCCTCCTCTATCCATCCTAGAACCGCCTCTAAATCCTCTATCTCCTCTATCGTCTCTACCTTCTCTTCTTTCACTTTAGAAATCATTCCTTGGCTAGTATTCTACGCTGTCATCTTACTAAGATCTATAACCTCTACCTCTACCTTCGAATTTACCTCTATCCTCAAAGTTACCACGGCCTCTCCAATTCATGCCATCTCCTCTGCCTCTGAAGCTATCTCTGTCACCGCGTCCACGGAAGCCATCTCTATCACCACGTCCACGGAAGCCATCTCTGTCACCACGTCCACGGAAGCCACCTCTGCCACCTCTGTTATTATTGAATCCATCTCCTTCCTCTCTATCACCACCATAAGCGAATGATCTCTGACTTGCTTATAATAGAAGGAATCTTTCGCCCATGAAAGCATTCATCTTTATTAGACTGTTCATTAGTTGCATTTTAGAACAAAATTAATCAAAAATATAAATATATAATTAATTTAACCATTCAATATTATTCTATATGTACTATGATTTTGGGGTTTTGGGGTTTTGGGGTTTTGGGG